CAACAAGTATAAGACTCATTTACAACATCACCAAACACATCTATGAGGACTCAAGCCTCCATATCATACTCTTTTTGGGAAACAGGTTCTTTAGATTGAGTATATTAACATATTTTAAGATTCATTTTCTTTACTAATCCTGGTGTCGGAACGTGACACTCCGATCCATCCTCTATTCTGGTGACACTCTGATCCATATACTATCCTGGTGTCGGAACGTGACACCCGATCCATATACTATCCTGGTGTCTGAACGTGACACCCGATCCATTACTATCCTGGTGCCGGAACGTGACACTCGATCCATATACTATCCTGGTGCCGGAACGTGACACCCGATCCATATACTATCCTGGTGCCGGAACGTGACACCCGATCCATATACTATCCTGGTGCCGGAACGTGACACCCGATCCATCTACTATCCTGGTGCCGGAACGTGACACCCGATCCATCTACTATTCTCAATCTTTTAGTTCATCAAGCCTTCTTTTATACCAAGGCATCATTATTAACAAAAAAATTTTTAGGGTTTAAGATTCAACAGCCTCATCATGCTAATTCATCAAAATTATGTAATCATATCATACATACACACAATTAAGCAATATAGGAGACTTTACATTACTACCCAATACATATCATTCGCTATTAAGAGTTTACTATCAAATAGCATAAACCATAACCTACCTCCACCGAAGAATTGTGATCAAACAATCTACTTTCCCAAAGCTGAGTTCTTCCTCTCTCTCAATCGATCGTTTCTCCCTCTCTCTCTGTTCTTTTTCTTTTTCTTATTCAAACCCTCTTTCTTTTACCCTAATTAGCATATAATTAAGTATAAAAGATGATAAAATACCCCACTACTTGTTTCAAGGTTCCCTCTTTTAACCCCCAAGTAATTAAATTATTAACAGTAAACCACTAACTTTATAATTATAAGCAGGAAAATTCCAAAACGCCCCTTAAAATATTAAACAGAAATCCGACCCAGTCAGGGTCACGAAGCCTATGACGGTCCGTCACAACTGTGACGGTCCGTCCTGCACGTCCGTCACAAAGTTCAGAGAGTTAATTCTGCGGAAGGATTTGTGACGGTCCGTCGAGCCCTCAACGGTCCGTCGAGCCCTCAACGGTCCGTCGAGCCCTCAACGGTCCGTCCTGTCATTTCGTCGTGAAGTTCAGAGAGTCTATCTCAGTACCCAAATTTCTAAATTCTAAGTGTTTTGGAACGAGACACCCTCGACGGTCCGTCGTGCCTATGACAGTCCGTCGTGGGATCCGTCGACCCAGACAGTGATTTTCAGAAATTAACTCTGCTGCTCCAAACGACTAAACAGGTCGTTACAATAGACACCAATTTATCCATCGTTCGTCCTCGAACGATCACAAGAAGAAAAACAAGGGCGAAAAGGAGTACCTGAATCTGTAAATAGGTGTGGTATCTTTCTCACATATCAGCCTCCTTCTCCCAAGTGGATTCTTCAACTGGTCGATTCTTCCATTGAACTTTGATGGATGCAAGCTCCCTTGATCTCAACTTGCGAATTTCTCTATCTACAATGGCAATAGACTCCTCCTCATAAGTCAAA